TGCCTTTCCGCCCGCTTTTTTTGGGGGGGGTTCCCCCTGCCCTGGACATCGAGGGGTTCAGGGGGGACACGGGGGAGCACGGCCGGCACGAGGCCGGCTTTGATTTTCATGGGCAAAACAGGTTCAATGATTCCTCATGGACAGAATCGTGACAGTACGTCCGTGGCCCTCTGCGTCTTTGAAAAGTTTTAGTGATGCTTAAAAAAAAAACCACGAAATTAAAAAAAATGAAATAATAAGAGAGATGCGCAAAATAAAAAAGGGAGAAGAAGCAAAGAAACAAACACACCTCTGGTTTTTAAGCGGTTTTGGGGTTTTCCTCCCCCTAGCTAAGGCGCAAAGAGGAGAAGAGGCGCTAGCATCTAGCGAGCAACGTCACACCTTGGAACAGCCTGTCCCTATGGATGGGCATCCTCCTTCCATGCACCGTGGGTAAAAGCAGGAGTAAATGGGTGTCCCTGGTGCCACCCCGGGCCCTGCGGGGCTGTCACAGGGGTGTCCTGTCCCCTGTGCCACCCCCGGGACATGGCCCATGGCAAAACCCAATGGGAGTCCCTGGAGCAGAGCTTGGACACGACCTCCTTGCTCTCCTCTCAGCAGCTTGGCCACTTCCAGGCTCTTTATGGAAACGCGGAATCGTTTTGGTTGGAAAAGACCTTCGCGGTCATCGAGTCCGGCCATAACCCACCCCAACGCGCCTGCTAAACCACGTCCCCACGCGCCTCGTGTCCATGGTTCCTCAACACTGCCGAGGATGGGGCTCCACCACAGCCCCGGGGAGCCTGTTCCAAGGTTCTCCACGCTTTCCACGGAGAAATTCTTCCTAATATCCAACCTGAACCTCCCTGGCACAACCCGAGGCCATCTCCTCTTGTCCTATGGATATTCCGGAGAAGAGATGGACTCCCACCTCACGACAACCTCCTTCCAGGCAGTTGTAGAGGACACTGCATTCCTAACGTGCTCCTGGCCAGCTTGGAGCATCTTTCCATTGGGAAAGCCAACAAACTGCACGAACATCTCCACAATCCTCAACTCCTAGCTCGCTCGGGACCAGGCCCCATCGGACCAGGTCCATCCCGTGGTGCCTCCACCACCGCGGAGCTTCTCGCCCGCGTCCCTGCTCACCCCATCCCGCGCGCGGAATGAAAACCTGCGTGAGAAGAACACATGAGAAATGGAAAGAACAGCAAGTAAAACACTGAGGCAGAGGAGGTCGCTAAGCAAAACATACCAAAGAGTGTAAGGGACCTTCATAATTGGGAGATGATGACGCTTGACCTCCATTTCTAGACCAAACAGCTGTGCCTGCTAACAGTAAAATGGGAGTTACCATTAGAACTGTGCAAACAAAAAGGTCTTTCAAACTTTTTTTTGGACAGTTTTGTAGACATGTAAATGCCCTGCTGCAGATAGGCTATAGAGCAGACAACTTCCGAAACACACATGGGTGAAAAAAAATAATTCAATAAAAAATAAAGGGATTTGGCAGCGCAGACGGAGTCCCCGGCACGGGGAGCATCGGCACCGGAGCTGGCACAAGGATGCGGCTCCTGGGTCATGAGGAGCCAACCCGAGCAAAAAAATGCAAAAAAAATAGGAAAAAATGGGGTTGGCATCCCCTGCTCCTAAGCTATTCCCGCTGCGAGCGGGAAGAAAAGGCCTCCTGGTCGTCAGCAGCGTTTGCTAACGCAACACAAAATTGGCCTTGTGAAAGAGGCAAAGCAAACATGGGGAAAGATGCTTTTCGAGTCCTTTCCCAACGGCTTGTGTTTATAGCAAAGTGGTGAGACAATTTAGAGCTTTGTTTTTTTAAAATTAATGATCTTCTGGCTGATCTTACAAAGCGAGGTTAGGAATTTGCGACGGAAACGGTCAGATTTTAATCCTAACGTCGGAATTGAACGGCATTCGCTTGGACGGAGACAGGCCAGGGCGGATCTCACGGCGGTCCATTTTAGGCTCAGCGTGCGAGTTTTTTTCTCACTGCAATATTATGCTAATTAAAACTTAAATCGTCTCTTTTCTAGTCCCCACGGATTTTGATTCTTATTTTATTTGGGATTTGGTGATAACACTGAATGGAGCAGTGAAAAGCAATCTTTGCTTTGGATATAATTTCTAACTAGCCTTGGCTATCCTTGAGGGAAAAGCGCCTTGCACGCTCAGCTCCATCAATTCTTTGTCAGAAGGACTTAAAAAATCCTTATTTTCGTTTCTTTGGACACCACTTGCTGGTTTTTTCACTGGTTTCCCAGGAAAACTCGCAGAAAGCCACGTAGTCCCATCACTTACTCAGCACGCGGCTTTCCGCCCGGATCTCCTCCAACCCAACCGGGCTGGGATTGGGTCAACGTGTCCTCCTCGTAAACCAAGTATCCAATAGATGAAGCAGCTTCGCAGGGTCTCGGCTGGTGCAGAGACACGTGGAGGGCTTTTTGGGCTACCGTTCTGCCTGGCCTTTGCCCAAGAGAAAACTCAGCTTGGGGTGAACATCTCTGCAAGAGCCACGAGCCGCTGCACGGGGTCTGCAGCCTGATGCAGCCCCGGGACCGTAGGAGCCCCCTTAGGCATCTCCTACCAAAAATAGGTTGCAACGTTCAGTAAAATAGAATTGTAACAACAATACCTGAGAGAGAAGGGGGAGAACCAACAGGAGTTGAAGGATTTGATGAAAAGCTGTTGTTGGTGTGATCTGGAGAATAGATCTTTAAAAGATGATAAAGAATTAATCTAGAGCCATCACAAACTGATGCAGAGAGAAATCTGGAATTCTTATGCATTCAGCTCATTTCAATGAAAGCAGGACAGGTTAAAAAGCCTCTTATTCAAATATTAATATTTCTTTTCATAAAGACAACACGGTATTAGATGCAGGAAGCCAGACAACAGGATCCTTTGACTGAGACATCTCGATGGAGACAGACGCCAGCCAATTAAGCCACGGGTTGGCACGCGGGCACGTTGCCATTCCAGGGACCGCTCCACGGATGAGCGTCATCGCACAAAGCCTCGCAAAATCGCTTGTTTGGGGCGGTTGGTGCCTTTTTTTTGCATCGTTTTTTTTTTGCTTTCGCTTTGTCACGCTGAGATCCCTCAGCAGCCAAAACGAAGCGAAGGGGCCGGCGGCCGCCGCGTCCTTCAGGGCACCCCAAGGGTGCCTTTTTTAGTCGCTTTTTTAGTTTTTTTTTTAAAGGATGCATCGGAAGAATATGCCCAAAAGACAAATCGACTCTCATGAGAACTCAATGGAACCCACTCTGCCCAGAAAATAACGGCAGCGGCGCTGCTGGAAAGCCCGGCGCTGCCGGCGACCACGGGCTTTGCAGCAGCCACCGCGGCGGTGGAACCTGCCACGAAAACACCACGTCGGGAGGCCAAGGAAAGCCACGACCGCTCCTCGTTTGCACCTCGCTCGGTAGCACAAAAATAAGCATCATTTGGGGTTTTTTTTTCCCCAAACCTCCCTCGTCTTGGAACGTGTGAGACCCAAAGACATCTCCCCCTGCCGCTCTAATATTTCCACTCTTGCAAAATTAAATGTGAATTTTCCAAGCGCTGTTTTGCACCACGCGGGCGCCCTCCGAGCCCAACCTCTCTCCCCTTTGCTGCTCATCCACCTCCAATTCCCGTTGGGAATTCACAGAAAGGGGAAGGGGGTATTCCAAAGGAAATGTTTCCTTACAGAGGCCAGTGCTTTCCCCAGCGCGTCGCCGGTCTGCGAGCTGCCTGCTGCCCCGCTCCCTCTGTTTGCTGCAAAACAAAAGAGACAGTGTTAAAAACAAAGGATTCGGCCTAAAAACACACAGAAAAACACCATTCCCGGTCCACCTCCTCATAATTCAATTGCGTTTTAAAGCTAATTGCTTGAAATTAACCGTTAATTGCCATTAATCGGTTTGCCAAGGTGGGTACCCAACGCATTCAGTTTCCTTTGCGCAGAGAAAACATCAACTCCACATGCTGCTTTTTAAAAATATATTGCGTATTTGCTAGGATTTGGCCATATGGCTTGATTTTTCCCTGACCGAGAGGTTGCTAAGGGTGGAAGATGCTCAAAGGTATGAAAAATATGCAAGATCAGAGCGGGGCCGCGTTCGGTGCCAATCAAAGGTGGCCGTGCTCGGATTTGGTTTCCTTCTCCTCCTCCTTCCCACATTTCATGGCCGTTTTCCTTGCGAATTCCCCATTTTCCTAACTCGGGAATGGCCCCCATCCTGCTCCTGGGTTTCTAGGCACGGGTCTCGGGTCTCCTTCCCATTTACGACACGTAGGGTGATGCATTTAAGAAAAGGAAGATCGAGTTTCCATTTGAGAAAATTTTCCAATTAAGAAAAATTTCTCCAATTAAGAAAATTTTCTCCTTCTAATTAAGAAAATTTCCTAATTAAGAAAAGGAAAAACTACATTTAACTAGACTACATAAAGTCCTGGCCTTTCGGTATTTCTCCTGTACCGGAATGCTTTAGAAAGGCCTTTCCAAATTGCTCTAATTCCAAGCTTTCCTACTAAATTCCCCCAGTGGGGCTTGCTCACCTCCTCACTTGCTCCCATTTTCCCTTTCTTCCAGGTAGAGTTTCACTATTCCTATTGCACATTTGGACGTAAGCTTATGTGAAGTGAGTTTGTGCATGCTCCTTTCCTAAAATGCAGGGCATTTTAGGCTAAAATGGCATGTTATGCATGCTGCTCTCTCAAAAAAGGGGAAAATAAATACATTTTGCTTCTTGTCGTCCAGTTAAATAGGGCAACTCGCTGCTTTAAGAGATAACTAACTTCTATGTCTGCTTTCACTCTTGCAGAAGGCACCAGATCATGCTGTTTTACATAGGGAATGACTGTGGGATATTAGCAAGAGCTTCTCTTTTTATCTACCAGTTGTTGGTCCATCATTTCACTCCTGACTTCAGTGAAACACTGTTTAAATTCAGCTAGACCGCAGCTCGAATGGAGAGAGGCTTCGTTCTGCAAAGCAGCATCCAGAACGGGAGAAAATGGCTCCAAAAAATAAATAAATGCTTCCCAGAAAACATGACAGCAACATTAAAACCCAGAATTCCGAATGCAGAGAGCCATGGAATCTGCTTTCTGGAGGGAAAGCTGGCAAATCTTAAGTCTTCCAGAGGGATGGGGAGAAACAAGGGATGCAGCAAACACTGCTTGCATTCCTGGGAAGCATCCAGCCAAATCTCCCTGCAGAGGCTCTCAAATACACTGGATGGCCTCCAGATTACAGGGAAGGAAGGTATTTCTACAGATTAAGAAGTGATCAAGAGATGGGAAAAATATTAAAAAAATATATAAAAATATTCTAGGGATAATGAAATATAAAGTTGCCCACGGAGAGCAGCTCTTGTAGCAGGTCCTAAGGCTGGAGGAGCCCAAGTCTATGAAGCCAAGTGCCACGTTGGGTTGGGACACTCCAGGAAAGCTGGGAAGAGCCGGGTCTGGCACAGACTGCGCTTGGTTGGACCTGATGGTCTTTATGGTTGGACTTGATGGTCTTTATGGTTGGACTTGATGGTCTTGAGGGTCTTTTGCAATCACAATGATTTGGTGACTCTACGGATGCGTCCGCATGCGATGCCGGGGATGCCGCGAGCTCCGTCCAAGGAGAGAGCGGATCAGCTCATGGAGAAGAAGGAGCCTGAGGTTCCCAAATCCTCCTAATTCCAACCAGCTCAGCCAGCTCCTGAGCTGGGAAAACACCGCATATCCTCGCTCCGGTTTTCCGTTCCTTATGAGGGAATCCTTCCAGGCTGCTGGAGACGGGAGCGTGGGGAAGAGGAGCTCTGGGGCTGAAGCAGGACAGCTGCTTTGAAGTTCTTCTGCAAAACATTCTGAACAACTTAGCGCAAGGAACGCTACGAAACCCGCTCCAATTTGGAAGGGGACAGTTTATCCAAAACATTTCCGGCCTGGGCTTAATTGAGTCGAAGTAGTCCAACGCAGACTTCCAGAAAGGTTTTGATTAATAAGAGAATGAGGAGCAGAGCTCTGAGGCAGGAGACAACCACATGCAGGTGAGCACATCCACCTACCCAACCATCTCCAGGCGTTCGGAGGACGGCTCTCCAACGTTTTGTTGGGACACACCGGAGAGATTCCTTGGAAACAGGACTCCCCCGCCGCAAAACGGGGCTTGGAAATGCCTCACACGAGCTGGGAATTCTAATTTCGAGCTGCTCTCCCACTCGCCGAGCTATTAATGTGCCCGAGGCATCGTGGAAGGCTGCGGCGTCGCGATGGCTCCGCGCTAACCGTGAAGCTTCCTCATGCTTTGGGAGGAAAACGGCCTCAGCGAGGCCCTTCTCACGTGGTACTGCTGCAATTCTGCCTGTAAATCTTAAAATTATTGAATAAACTCCCAGGAATCTTGAGTATAATTATATCTAGGGAAGTATCTGGTGGAACTGGTACGTTGGAGCCATCTATTAGAGATTCCAGGCAGAGTTTTTAGAGTTTAAATTCTAGCACGAGCTCCTGCTGCTCTGCTACAATGGAGTTTTCTACAACAGCAGCCTGGAAGGGAGGTTTCTAGGTAAAGGAGAGTGCAAAAACTCGCACCAGCTCGGTATTCCTAGTTGGAATCCTCCCAAATTCCGAGGAACTGGCACTGCTGGGTAGAAGAACAGGTTTCCCCTGTTGAAACTGCTACCTGCTTCCAGCCCGCTGCAAAATCCTGCATCCCTCAATATTATCTGCAAGGCTTCTATGGAAGTGTTGGAAAAATGAAAAAAAAAGGATGAGTTAAATTTGACTCTATTAGGCTCCTTTTGAGAAAGAGAGAGAGTGATTTCCGTGTCACACACACAGGAAAAGTAATACACTGGAAAGGAAGAATTCTCAATGGAATGGCAAGATTGAGCACAGAAATACTACACTGCAAGGGGATACGTTTTTCCCAGACAGTGATAAATTAAGAAGAGACTGTATTTAGTTTCTTCTTTGTTCAGAGCCCTTGCAAAATATGATGCCCATGTGTTAATGCTTGAACCCACCCTCCATTCTTAGTGCATTAGTCCTGCTCGCAGTCATTCAATCCAGAATCATGTGTGTAATCTGAAACATGTGGCAAATGCTGTGTTCCCTATTTCCCAATTATTTCATTAGCTTTATTTGTTCTTTGAGATACAGGCAAAGCAGTATGCCTTTATTCCCTGCATTTAAGGCGGGATTTGCCAAATATTTAGGGGAGCCTACAGATGTGTGCTGGTAATTTGGTGAGGGTGTTAGGGCAGGAAGGGCAGGAAAAGAAGGACACGATGCCCTGGTCCCCTTCCTGGCAATGTGAGAAGCAAGTCAAGAATTGAAGGGAAGGGGCGTTGCGGCGGCGAAGGGAGGTATCACTTCACAGGGCCCCGCCGGTGATTAAACGCCTAAAGATAATAAAATTAGACTCCAAAAGCAGCCGGATCAGGCACTTGATACAGCCCGGGCAAACTCGAGAAGGGAGCACTTCCCTGAGTGGAATATTGTGTTTTTATATTGAGCCTCCAAGCAGCACTGTGTGCATAAGGCAAGGGAGGCAAAGGCCATCCCCAAAGGATTTATTTTGCGGAGCTTTTCCCGTTTTCCTAGACCTATTGAGGCAAGCAGCAGCCTTTCCCTGCCCCTCTGCAGCTCGCCGGCAGCGCTGGGGTGCCGGGAGCGGCGTACGGAGCGCCGGGAACGCCGGGAACGCCGGGAATGCACTCACCCATGATGCTGTCGGTGCCGTTGGCCGGCGGTGTGCAAGAGGACGCGCTGTAATGGTTGGTGCCGCTGCGGTGGAACGTGGACATCGGAGGAAGACTGGAGTTGATGTCTGCGGAGGAGTGCGATGGGTAGCTCTGCGGAAAGGCAGGGAAAAGAAAAGGATGGGAACGTTTCAACCATGTCCAAGGGTGGCCCGGATGGGAAATAGAGGCTTGGAAATGGATACCAATCACTGAAGCAAGACCCTGTAATGCAACATCCCCCTGCACCCTCTGGCTCCCTAGGTGCTTCACATCAAGCTGGCTAAAAAGTCTCTTTTCCCTCGTCGGAGTTATTTAATTTGGCAGGATTTTCTCTTACTTAAGGACCAAGTTACAGGATATTTGGAAGTTTTCGCCAAAAACGTCAACACGAGCCAAACTCTGCTTTTCCTACCCATGAAAAAGCCGCTGCCAACCCTGCCTGAAGATCTGAGGCTTTGACTCATGTCTAAAGCGCCCCAGGCCTCCGGCCCTGAATCCAAGCGGCTGGAATTGCACGGACGAGCGGGATGTGTCGGGAACAAGGGTGCGGGAAGCAGCAAAGGCTTCGGCCATCCCAGCATTCCCACCCCAGCTAAACTTTGCTCCATGAAGCAGCATCTCGTGATTCCCTCCTTTCCCCGGGGAAGAAATCCCACCGCTATTGCCAAACATTTTAGGGGAAAAAACCACGGGATCTGCGGATTGCCCTTTGCATGCAAAGCCTCTCTTTGGGCCACTGCGAACACGGCTGCAAAAGCAAAAATAATCAGCACCGCCACCTCCCAGGAAAACCTGGAAAACCGGGATGGGTACAGGGAAGCTGGAATCCAGGCACACTTAAAGGAAATTCCAAGTTTCCCGGCTTGCACGCTGAAGGCCCTCGGTAGTCTTAGCTCTCCCCTGAATTCCTGCCATGCAAATGCCCCCTAATTCTGATGAATGGGTATCAGCGGAGATAAATTCGATTAAATTGGGTTTTAAAGGTATGCTCGATTTTATAATATATGCTTGTCGCTTCAGAGCAGTGTTAAATTTGCTTAGTGCCCTAATTATGCCATTTTATAAGGACATGATTAAGCAGTTTTTGAGGCAATTCCTTTTGCTTTTGACTTCCTATTAGCGTTACATAGCACTGCACTAACCTCATTACATTTGAGATTTCGAAAAATTTGTTTTGCAAATTAATTCTCAGTTTGCAAAACTGAATTTATTTTTTTTCCTAATTCCTCAAAGGAAGTTTCTGCTAAACTTTAAAGCATTTGCCTCCTCCCTTAAAACCAGCACTACTTCTTACGCTCTTCTTCAATGCTCTTCCAGAAGTGGGAAATGGGAAAATGCTGCTTGTAAAATTGCATGCATTTTGAGGAAAATGCCTTCCATTTTAGCAGTCTGTTCTTTACCTCCTCCTTCAGCAAATAAAAAGCAACCAAAACAACCAGTCCTCTCCCAAAACACTGAACGGATGCAATGCAGCATCACTGCTCTGTAGCCAACTGAGCCCTCAGCTCTGCTCGAGACGGATTTCGTTCCAATTTAATTCTGTTCCTAAAGGACACGTGCCACTGACTGCGTGCAAGGATGTCCCAGCACCAGCAAGGATGCATGAACACAAACTAGGGATGTCCCAGCACACACAGGGATGGTCCCAGCACACACTAGGATGCCCCAGCACACACTAGGATGCCCCAGCACACACTAGGATGCCCCAGCACACACTAGGATGCCCCAGCACACACTAGGATGCCCCAGCACACACTAGGATGCCCCAGCACACACTAGGATGCCCCAGCACACACTAGGATGCCCCAGCACACACTAGGATGCCCCAGCACACACTAGGATGCCCCAGCACACACTAGGATGCCCCAGCACACACTAGGATGCCCCAGCACACACTAGGATGCCCCAGCACACACTAGGATGCCCCAGCACACACTAGGATGCCCCAGCACACACTAGGATGCCCCAGCACACACTAGGATGCCCCAGCACACACTAGGATGCCCCAGCACACACTAGGATGCCCCAGCACACACTAGGATGCCCCAGCACACACTAGGATGCCCCAGCACACACTAGGATGCCCCAGCACACACTAGGATGCCCCAGCACACACTAGGATGCCCCAGCACACACTAGGATGCCCCAGCACACACTAGGATGCCCCAGCACACACTAGGATGCCCCAGCACACACTAGGATGCCCCAGCACACACTAGGATGCCCCAGCACACACTAGGATGCCCCAGCACACACTAGGATGCCCCAGCACACACTAGGATGCCCCAGCACACACTAGGATGCCCCAGCACACACTAGGATGCCCCAGCACACACTAGGATGCCCCAGCACACACTAGGATGCCCCAGCACACACTAGGATGCCCCAGCACACACTAGGATGCCCCAGCACACACTAGGATGCCCCAGCACACACTAGGATGCCCCAGCACACACTAGGATGCCCCAGCACACACTAGGATGCCCCAGCACACACTAGGATGCCCCAGCACACACTAGGATGCCCCAGCACACACTAGGATGCCCCAGCACACACTAGGATGCCCCAGCACACACTAGGATGCCCCAGCACACACTAGGATGCCCCAGCACACACTAGGATGCCCCAGCACACACTAGGATGCCCCAGCACACACTAGGATGCCCCAGCACACACTAGGATGCCCCAGCACACACTAGGATGCCCCAGCACACACTAGGATGCCCCAGCACACACTAGGATGCCCCAGCACACACTAGGATGCCCCAGCACACACTAGGATGCCCCAGCACACACTAGGATGCCCCAGCACACACTAGGATGCCCCAGCACACACTAGGATGCCCCAGCACACACTAGGATGCCCCAGCACACACTAGGATGCCCCAGCACACACTAGGATGCCCCAGCACACACTAGGATGCCCCAGCACACACTAGGATGCCCCAGCACACACTAGGATGCCCCAGCACACACTAGGATGCCCCAGCACACACTAGGATGCCCCAGCACACACTAGGATGCCCCAGCACACACTAGGATGCCCCAGCACACACTAGGATGCCCCAGCACACACTAGGATGCCCCAGCACACACTAGGATGCCCCAGCACACACTAGGATGCCCCAGCACACACTAGGATGCCCCAGCACACACTAGGATGCCCCAGCACACACTAGGATGCCCCAGCACACACTAGGATGCCCCAGCACACACTAGGATGCCCCAGCACACACTAGGATGCCCCAGCACACACTAGGATGCCCCAGCACACACTAGGATGCCCCAGCACACACTAGGATGCCCCAGCACACACTAGGATGCCCCAGCACACACTAGGATGCCCCAGCACACACTAGGATGCCCCAGCACACACTAGGATGCCCCAGCACACACTAGGATGCCCCAGCACACACTAGGATGCCCCAGCACACACTAGGATGCCCCAGCACACACTAGGATGCCCCAGCACACACTAGGATGCCCCAGCACACACTAGGATGCCCCAGCACACACTAGGATGCCCCAGCACACACTAGGATGCCCCAGCACACACTAGGATGCCCCAGCACACACTAGGATGCCCCAGCACACACTAGGATGCCCCAGCACACACTAGGATGCCCCAGCACACACTAGGATGCCCCAGCACACACTAGGATGCCCCAGCACACACTAGGATGCCCCAGCACACACTAGGATGCCCCAGCACACACTAGGATGCCCCAGCACACACTAGGATGCCCCAGCACACACTAGGATGCCCCAGCACACACTAGGATGCCCCAGCACACACTAGGATGCCCCAGCACACACTAGGATGCCCCAGCACACACTAGGATGCCCCAGCACACACTAGGATGCCCCAGCACACACTAGGATGCCCCAGCACACACTAGGATGCCCCAGCACACACTAGGATGCCCCAGCACACACTAGGATGCCCCAGCACACACTAGGATGCCCCAGCACACACTAGGATGCCCCAGCACACACTAGGATGCCCCAGCACACACTAGGATGCCCCAGCACACACTAGGATGCCCCAGCACACACTAGGATGCCCCAGCACACACTAGGATGCCCCAGCACACACTAGGATGCCCCAGCACACACTAGGATGCCCCAGCACACACTAGGATGCCCCAGCACACACTAGGATGCCCCAGCACACACTAGGATGCCCCAGCACACACTAGGATGCCCCAGCACACACTAGGATGCCCCAGCACACACTAGGATGCCCCAGCACACACTAGGATGCCCCAGCACACACTAGGATGCCCCAGCACACACTAGGATGCCCCAGCACACACTAGGATGCCCCAGCACACACTAGGATGCCCCAGCACACACTAGGATGCCCCAGCACACACTAGGATGCCCCAGCACACACTAGGATGCCCCAGCACACACTAGGATGCCCCAGCACACACTAGGATGCCCCAGCACACACTAGGATGCCCCAGCACACACTAGGATGCCCCAGCACACACTAGGATGCCCCAGCACACACTAGGATGCCCCAGCACACACTAGGATGCCCCAGCACACACTAGGATGCCCCAGCACACACTAGGATGCCCCAGCACACACTAGGATGCCCCAGCACACACTAGGATGCCCCAGCACACACTAGGATGCCCCAGCACACACTAGGATGCCCCAGCACACACTAGGATGCCCCAGCACACACTAGGATGCCCCAGCACACACTAGGATGCCCCAGCACACACTAGGATGGCCCCAGCACCCACAGGGATGTCCCAGCACCCAGGGATGGTCCCAGCACACAAGGACGTCCCAGCACACACAGGGAGGTCCCAGCACACACAAGGAACCCCCAGCACACACAGGGATGCCCGCAGAGCCCCTCAGTGCCGGGCCCTGGGGACACAGCGATGCCCCCCAGGGCCACCCGGCGCATCCCGCCGCATGCCGTCGTACCAGGCGCTCGTGGGGGTGCAGGCTGCAGTAGCTGCTGGACTGCGGGATGTGCGACGAGTTGCCCAGCATCCCTCCGTAGCCGGGCTGGTTCATCCCGCTGGAGGAGCTCCACGGGTCGCTGCTGTGATGGCCATCTGCAACACGGAGAGCTCCCTGGGCATTTTGCATTTAACTAGCTATTTGGGGACCCCTTTTGGTCCCCAATGACCCCGCGGGGACGTGGCAGCCCATGGATCAAGAGCTCCTCCAGGGTGGGAATCGGGAATTCGAGAACCTCATCCCTCGCCCTGCGGATGCTTCACCCTCCTGAACCACTTGTCCACCCAAAGCTGAGTGCATGCATAAGCAATTAAAAGCTAATTATTGCACCCTAAACGTGGCAAAAACTGCGTGCACTCATTCCAGGTGGATGCTTCCAAACCCTTGGAATTTTATTCTCCAAGTTAGGTGGAATTTCATCTTACCTACATGCAATCCTTGCAAGGAATGCAACAGTGAGCACATACCGACGACTAACTCCCTCTCGAATGTGAGCAACTATGCTCTTAATTTTTAATTAATTTTTACAAGGTCGCAGCAGTTCTATAGGCGACATGTAGATGCACAGCTCTGCATGCTTTACAGAAGCTAAAATCTTTCTTGTTGGCATAAGAACAACACTGCAGAAAGCACGTGCATGATTTCGGGTGCATTTTGTAATAATATATGTGCACACACACGCTGAAAAAACTGCTCCCAGGAACCCAAACGATAAGGACCCGGCGAGCTCTTCATTATCCCGTTCCACTGCAGGATCCAAACAAGGTGTTTGGGGACATAACGCTCAAACTTCCAGCTCTTCATTTTCATGGAAATGCTGCGGAGCGCGGGATGATATTCCCAAATAGAAACCCGGGAAATGTATGCAAAAGAGATTGGTTTTTTTTTTGAAAGCGGCGTCTTACCTTGCATGAAGAAGGAGCTGGGAAAAGTGCTGGCTGCTGGTTTTGAGGATGGATAACCTGGCGAATCCCTATTGTAGTCGGCAGTGCTTGCTGACGGGGCATAAACCTGAGGAAAAAAAAGGCTCATTTAGGACGCCTTTAGCAGGGAGCAGGGAAGAAATATTGAGTTTTTACCTTGCTCGGTATAAATCAGTTCGCAACACTACATAATTCTTCTCTCAGAACACAAAACCCCCGGTACATGTGTGACTAGAAAATAAATTTTAAGCTTCAAAAGAAACTCCGGCCTGACATTTTCCAGCTTTAAACAAGGGTATTTGCAAGGTGTTTGTCAAAGGAGGTATTTCTGTAAATAAAACGAATAAGCGGGCGCACATATGTTCCTGCCTGCGCATCAAGGAGCCAAAAATAAAGCAGAACTCGAGACAATGCTGATTTTCCTAAATGGAAGCGGGCAGACTTCACACATCCAAGAACAACACCCAAAGCGGCGCAAGGACGTCCGAGTCATCGCTTCCCCCACCGAGAAAAAGGAAAAAAAAAAGGATATTTAGAAAATGGCATTATCAGGAAGAGTGAAAATTATAAAGGTATCTTGGGATATTGAATTCCCGAATTCCCAGCTCCTTCCCTGCACAAAGCAGCCCGGGCATTTCTTGCCACGGGGAGGGCACGGGTGCCGTTTAACGGATCCCCTCTCCGACGCCTCTCGGCGCTCCGCGGAATTCCGCGCTCTCCAGATGGTCGGGAAGAGCTCCCGATGAAAATGGATCCCTTCCTGCCTCCATTTTGCGGAGCTGGCAGGGAGCCCGCTCCGCCGGGAGCCGCCGGCACCGGGAGCATCTCCCCGGCGCGCCGCTTCTCAGATCCCGTATTCCCTTCAGAAGAGCCAGCATTTTGGTTAAATATTCGGCACTGCCAGGTTTTTATCACACCACGGTTTTCATGGCGCCATGGAGGCCCCTCTCCCGCGAAATTCCGCAGGTTGCTTCTCCCGGGGTATCCCAGGGATGGCCGTGTCCACAACAGGGAATAACTGGCCAATTGCATGGACCTGCCAGCATCTCCTCGTGCCCTTGTTCCACAAAACAAACATGTTATTGCTTTTTTAAAGCATATTATTCACACCACGTGCGCCGCGCTGGTGCCTCCTGCACCCATGCCGTGCATGGAGCCGGGATTCCCATGCCCATTCCATGCATGGAGATGGGGTTCCCTGCACCTGCACCATGCTTGGCACCAGGGTTCCCATGGCCATTCCCATTCCAGGGTTTCCCACACCAGGGATATCCACCCAAAGCCCTGCCGAAGGCGCTCGGGATTGAAGATCTCCGGGAGAGCATCCATGGAAGCGGAGGGGCATCACCAAAGGGGAAGGGCCACCAGCAGCGTTGGGGACAGCAGAGCCTGAAGCCACCGGCTCCGCGGGGACCTCGGGAGCATCCCTGGGGACCGGGGCACGGAGCGGGGCCACCCCGCACCCCCTCCAACGAACCAGATGTCGGCGCTTCCCGATGCTGCCCGCGCCGGAGGGCCCCGGCGCGCCGGGATCGCCTGCAGGTGCGAGCCCCGGCGGGGAAAAATCCGGGAAAAATCCCCCGGGATGCAGCGAGGGGCAAAGGCGGCTGCAACGGGGGCCAGCGCGGCCCAGATTCCCCCCCGCTCGCTCCATCCGCCGGGAATCACCCCGGAGCAGGGACACGAGCCCGGAACGCGAGCGGCCTTCCCGGCCTTTCCTTTCTCCCTCTTCCCGCCCCATCCCATCCTCCGAGGCTGCAGATCCCGCTCGGGTGAAATACTTTCCAGATGGGGCGGCATCATGTGAACGCCTGGAGTTAAAAAAGGGTCAACCGAATTAAAGCAAAAAAGCGCAAAAAAAAAAAAAACCCTTACAATATTATGTCATCCCTGTGCAATAATATACATTCCCAAAAAGCAAGCCGCACATCAGAGGAGCTGCAGATTTTCTGCTCCGGCTCCGATTTCCTTCTGCCATTTGTCTTTCCCAGGCAGCTTTCCCGGACGGCTCCCGATGCGGCGCGGGAAGGAACGCGGTCCTTCCCGTTCCCATTGGGATGCGGGAGACGGCAGGTGACTCTGGGAGCCACCATAGGGTCTGCTGGATCGGAGCCGTTTCCAGTGGGTTTGGGGGGAAAAACGGGAAGAAGCGGGAGCAAAGGAGGAGAAAGAGCAGGTGAGGAGCGGAATTCCCAGAGGAAGCGGAGGGAAGGAAGAGGCCTCCTTGGTGCATTTTCCTTCTCTTCTGGATCCGCTCCCTAACTTTCCTTCTCTCCGCTGCATTCCTGAGAGCCATTTTCTGTGTTTTCCTTTTCTGGGCTCTGTTTACAAATACATGCAGAGACAGTGAATGCATCAGACATCTGCCCGTATTTTTCCTCCCAAATTTCTCCGCAAAGCCAAGAGCCTCAGTCCTGCAATCTCGCCGTGGCTCTGGTCGTTACCCACCTAGCACAGTGCGAGCAAATACTTTAAAGCAATTAATTAGATCTGATCCCTTTGCTTTGGATCCAGCTCATGGGGCTACGTCAGGCGGCAGCGGAAAGCCTGGGATGAGGGATGAGCAGGAGGGTTGGTGGGACACGGATGGTCCTGCGGGATGAGGGACGCGGAGACATCTGAGCTCCTTGGGTGGAAGGAGATGTTCCCATGAAGAAGGGAAACAGGCCCAAACCGTTTGCCACATTCCCGCAGGCTGGTTTTTTAGGAAGAACCGGATCCCGATCCAACCTCAGCATCTCAGAGCTGCCTCAAGCAATGAACCATGAGCCCCTGTCGTGTCCCCATCCCGGCGGGTGACGGCAGCATCAGGTGCTGAGCCCCAGTGCAAACACGGAGGAAGGAAAATGTTTGCTTTTTATGTCAGCAGAGATGTCAGGACCCATTAATAAATCTCGCTGCTAAATCTACTCTTATTCATGTGGGACATCACCAAGTTAAAGGAAAATAAATTATCTTTAATTAAATGGAATTGTCGTCTTCCTCCTGCTATCAGCCCCAATTATTACATCCTAATCAGCCCTTTTGGGAGAAGGCATGCGGGAAGGCTGAGAGGCACATTTACTAGGAACACTTTCTGTCAAGAGATGGAAATTTGGGCTTCATTATCGTTTAGGACGATCATTTCCACCCTCTTGTTGATGAAAGGGACGAGGACGGAGTCATTCCCGACGGGAAGCGGATCCGGCGGCGCGGGGACCATCGGAGCGTGGCCGGAGCCGCCGGCACCTGCAGGGCCTTCCTTCCCTATGGAATACCGGAGCCCAGCTCGACTCCGGGCACTGAAATATTATTATTATTAAGCAGAGACGAGGAGCAGAAGCGAAAGCAGGAAGAGGCACGTTCTGCTTAACGGTGCTGCTTCCAGTTAGGCCGGCTTTGAATCGCCGCCTCCAGAAGTTTTTTTTAAAAAAAAGGGATAAAAAAGGGGGAAAAAAGCGACCGCAGCCCTCCGAGCCTGCTGACTCCTTATAAAAGAACCAGTTTGAAACTTGTTTACACTGCTGCTCCCAAATGGGTTCAAGATGGTGGCGAGCCGGAGCGGGGAGCGCGCCAGCGCCATCAAAGCGCCCGGCCCGCAACCTTCCGTTTTAATTGACCGCTAATTAAGCTACATTAGGCCGGGAAAAGTCTCGGAGGCTTCGGAGGGAGCCGGGTTAACCCTGTCCTCGCCCTCCCGCTCCGCATCCGGGATCCGCGCGGATCCAAAGGGGTCCCCAGGGGGAGCGATTCTATACATTTTATGTGTATAAGCAATTATGTTATATATAAAATTACATATATGATGCCCTACACACCCAAATACACATGCACAATGATATATAATCCATATAATTTCGCATATAGGATAAAACTGCACATATGCATATATGTATAACCCACATTATTGCATATACTAATACATGTGCATGTAAGTGTGTGCATATGTTTCTCTATAAAATATATAATTATATATATACACATGCACACAACACGCATGCGCATATGTATATATAAAATATGGATATTTTGGATATATATAAAGTGGGTCTTGCCCTGCTGAAGAGAGCTCAAGCTCCCCAGGGCCACACGCGCTGCAGCCCGTCTTCCCCATTATCCCGCCGTTATTCCCGCAAAACGCTCCTTCCGGGATGCACCGACGGCAAAGCCAGGCTCCGAACCCGCCTGGGGAGCCAAAGCTTTGGAATTTGCTTTCCAAAAAGCTGCAGCGTCGGAGAGAAGGGACCCGGAAGGGACAAGTCAGACAGGCCAAGACGTGGCCCAAGGACACTAAAACCGGCTTGGAAAAGGCTCCAAGTCCCCCCTGTTCCCATTTTAGCAAAAAAAGAGGAGTTTGCAGGCTGCGATGCCGGAGCTTCGCACTTCCCGCGTGTCCGCAGCGCTCCGACGCCGGCTCCGCTCGCGTTATATTTTATCCTAATGACTTTTGGCACCAAACTCCTGCATTTCGTAGAATAGGATTTAATGAGCACCGTATCTTTTTTTAACGTTCTGCCAAGCGCTCATTAAAATGCACTTGTTTTTGCGCCGCAATAGCCGGCTACACGAAACCAAAATATTAATGCAAATTGCCATTTCTAAGTTTAAAGCGGGATTTGCATAAGAGGAAGCGGCCGTGGTGGGAGCTGAAAGAGAAGCGCCCGGCACGACCCCAACGCCCTAATTATTGCATAGAAATGTATTTTTAATTGCGTCCTGCCCCTATGGAAGACGCGCTCCGCTTCGGAGCGGGGAGGGCACCCGGCCCGGGACGCTGGGATATTCGGGAATGGGCTCCAGGGAATGCACGTCTCCAATGGGAGGTTGCAAATCCCTTCGAATAAAGAAGATGCATGGGGGGTTTATGCACGTTGCATCCACAGGTTTGGTTCAATAGGAAGCCATCAAGGAATGCAGCATTTGGGCTTAAAAAAATATATATATATTTAAGGCTTGCATATATGATGCCCTGCAGCCGGTTTTGGGGAGGCTTGCTGCGGAATTGGGCAAGGAAGCACCTTGCATTGTGGAAATCTGGGAATGGGAGCGCCAGCGCGGCCGGGGCTGGAAAAGGACACGGGGCGAAGCAGGAGGCGCCTTGAAAATTAA